ATACTACCTACACTGGACCACCATGTTCGAGATATCTTTTTCAATAGTTCAGACACAAACCACGGCAGCTTATTGAAGAATACTACCTACACTGGACCTCCACGTTTGAGATATCTTTTTCAATAGTTCAGACACAAACCATGGCAGCTTATTGAAGAATACTACCTACACTGGACCACCATGTTCGAGATATCTTTTTCAATAGTTCAGACACAAACCACGGCAGCTTATTGAAGAATACTACCTACACTGGACCTCCACGTTTGAGATATCTTTTTCAATAGTTCAGACACAAACCATGGCAGCTTATTGAAGAATACTACCTACACTGGACCACCATGTTCGAGATATCTTTTTCAATAGTTCAGACACAAACCACGGCAGCTTATTGAAGAATACTACCTACACTGGACCTCCACGTTTGAGATATCTTTTTCAATAGTTCAGACACAAACCATGGCAGCTTATTGAAGAATACTACCTACACTGGACCACCATGTTCGAGATATCTTTTTCAATAGTTCAGACACAAACCACGGCAGCTTATTGAAGAATACTACCTACACTGGACCTCCACGTTTGAGATATCTTTTTCAATAGTTCAGACACAAACCATGGCAGCTTATTGAAGAATACTACCTACACTGGACCACCATGTTCGAGATATCTTTTTCAATAGTTCAGACACAAACCACGGCAGGTTATTGAAGAATACTACCTACACTGGACCACCATGTTTGAGATATCTTTTTCAATAGTTCAGACACAAACCACGGCAGCTTATTGAAGAATAAGTACTACCTACACTGGACCTCCAGATTAAACAGCTTAAATTAGGGCCTGTCATATCATCCTGTTTAAAATCATGATTTGCATAAAGTTCTCAACTTTCAATTTTATAGTATTGTGTAAACACAGCTTTCATTTTCAAACTTTCTTAAACTATTAATTTAAATACAGCTAACAAGTTGTTTATTCAAAAACACAGCAAGTTTCAGCAAAATATTTGGAATTAATATACACGAACAATATCTGGTAATTGCAATTTTGTTATATTGCATGATTTATATATCGATATACTATGTTTCTAAATATAAAACGAAAGAAAACTATTCTATAGAAAAACATTATCATAAAAAAACATGTTGTAACTATACCTGCAGTTCAATGGGTCTTAAATCACCAAAGACAAATCTTTGAATTATCTTGCCGATCAGGAAAAAGCCACAATAGACCATATTCACTGTAGTCTAAATTTGCGAAGTCATAACAAAATCTTAGCACACAGAAGACTATGAAATTTGAGCATTAGACTCCTACAAATCAAATTATAAATCCTAAAAATCAAATATAAAAAAGATCAAGCACATCACAACTTACCCAAGTGCAAAACGGGTCTTTTGCCATGCAAGAAGTTATTATCTGCCATAAATTCTGTTCGTTATTGTCCGAAATTTCACTGTTGAAGTTGTAGCCATAAATTGTAGCTAGCACAAAGAGCAATAAACTGCCGATTGTGTATGATTTTAGGGACGGAAGCGGCAGGTTATCCAATAATACAACAGCCATGACTTTCAGATTAGTTAAATCTTTCCCAAAAGTAGTTTGTTTGCTCAAATATTTGTAAAATATCGAGGTTTTTGAAAGCTTCTACTCAATCATGATTCACTGTTTATCTTGCAAGAAGGAACGTGAAGGCGTATTGACTTCTGGGAAATATATGCCTTTCACCTTCCACTTACCAGACAAAGGAAAAACTTTCGTTTCACTGTGAAAATGCAAAAAATAAATTTAATGCTATAATATTTCCCCCGCATAAAATCTTTCCTACAGGATTTAAAATAATTACAAACCTTCGAATGGACAGGATATCTTTTCAAATAAATAATAAAAACCGTTTATCAAAAATGAACAAAAATGAAGTGCATAATTCTGCAAATATACACGTCTGAAGTGGAAGCTATTTTTGTATTTAACTATCCCATAAATTATCATAATTTAACTATGACGCCTTGCATAATTATTTGTATAAATTTATTAAATATGGCTGCCCGGAGTGAAGTGCTTCGTTTATATCGTTCGCTACTAAGAGAATCTATTAACTTTAACAATTATAACTACAGGTCAGTATTGAGATAACACCCTTCTATCATGCAGTGCTTACTGTGTATTTGAGGTTGAGAAATTTACAAGGAGAAAATGTCGTTAATTACTTCATTTTCCCTGTCTTGTCTAGATTGTACGCTATTCGTAAAGTGAGAGATTGTTTTCGAGAACATAAGAATGAAACAGATCCAGAGAGAATCAAAAGTTTTATAACCAAAGGTCAACAGAACTTAGAAAGTTTAAAAAGACAGGTAACAATATATAAAATTGTACTGCATCTGAACTTGGTTTGTACTATATAACCCTCCCCCCCCTGGCTAATTGGCCTGCACAGGGGTCACACCCCTACCTAATAAAAGTGTCAATCGGTGCTCACTAATGTTGCTATATGTTTTGGAATATTTGACAGCAGACCTGGTGATATTCACTAATAACCCCACCCCCCTGAAAATTTTTCGATGCCAAATGAACTGTCATCCCCCCTCCGTAAAAATCTCATCCCACACCAATTAAACTTGGATTGTTTACAACAGTCCTGCTGGTGGCTAACAAGTGACACCCCCCCTGGAGGATTGTCAATGCATAACAAGCTTGGACCCCCCTGATAGGTCTAACACTTATTCCTCATATTTCAGACATTACTTAACAACATATATGGGACATCTAAGCTGGTTATCGAATCATGACGGACAACACATCAAAGAAGATAAAATGAGTGAAATACAGCAAGTGCGGTGTTTGGTTTGTCAGGTTCATCGAATGACATGTTGAATATAGTGTTGACTAGAAACGATTTAATAGGAAAATACCAAGATTTTGGAGCATCTTGTTTGGTAGAACTAACAGTAGATGGGTTTTTATTGGATGGAATATTCGAATGCAAATTTATATGCATTGTTAGACGAGGAACAGTTGACAAGCATAAGCCCTCTGGAATGGAACCTGTGGCTCTGTGGCACATCTGCCCATAGTTGCATTATTTGCAAGTGCTCCTGCTTTGGTCTAAAAATATATAAATTTGTGTTTGAATACTTCATCTACAAAAAACCATCTACTATTTTATTAATAGTTAACTATTACTATATTTTGATACATGAAAGATAATTCCATGGGATATCCTAGACTGGGCTAAAATAGGAGAGAAATAATTTTCCTTCACGAAACTTATTCTTCTTAAAATTTATTATTGGTATTTTATTTTAGCAAAAAAATTATATTAATTAAATTTTTTTCAAACTGGTGATGAACAGTTTATTTGTTGTTGCTTTTGCAAATTAACTTTTAAAAAGTTAAGGTTTTACCTCATGTACGATTTTACTTGGCAATGGGAGAATGTTAGGGTTTTTGAGAACGTATATCATAAAGTCGTTTATTATAAGGCCAATTTACATTACACAACTTTTGCCTAAAACTGTCGCATGCAGCCTGCTTACAACTTGAGTTGTACTGTGTAAATCAAACACATAACTCATCCACGTTGTCGCAGGTGAGTTGTATGCTTGATTTACACAGTATAACTCAAGTTGTAAGCAGGTTACATGCGACAGTTTTAGGCAAAACGATTGTGCAGTGTAAATCGGTGTATAGTGATTGTAGCCAGTCTGTTAGCCTCTTGCACCAAAGCCAACATAACTAAAATCTTTGCAGAGTTCTTTATTAAAGTCCCCAATATCCACATTGCTCCTTCGCACAGTTGGGTCATGTCTGGGGAAGTACTGAGCTACAATATATGTGCATGGTTTATTGAGATGACTGACAGCACGACCCACACCAAGCTTGTCTGTACCTCGCCAAACTATCTGGGTGAAATCTTTCACTGGCGTTGTTTTGCTCTTGGCTGCATGAGCAAGGAAATCATACTGGCAAACTTTCGAATACCTTCAAAACATGATTATATATAGTGTCATGCTCAGAAAACTGAGCTGCCCTGGTTTGTGTGTGCCAGGGGCGCGGTTGTACGAAGTGCGGACTGCGCTATCCATCGGATAGTGATTTTTTCAAGCTTTCTGAAATTGTTCGTTGATTGGCACCAGATTAAACTTTAGTATTTATAAATTGAACGCTCTTTTTATTTATAGTGCGATGTCACCACAAGTGAATCGCAGTATGATTGCAAGTAAAACCGCGACTGAATCGCAACCAGAGTGTAAATGCCCTGAATCAGCCCGGATATGGTACCTGAAAATATCTTACCATTTTTTAACTGGAACAATAGGCAATACATGTGTATCACAACATGCATAAATATTTTCACCATATTTCTTGTCTTTATAGCCCTGAGAATGGCGTAGCTGCGACATTCCACGTACTGAGAGTTCTTTAGCATATTCCTGCGCCTGTTGAGTAAGCTGGGGGTCTAGAGCCAAATGTTGGGAATGATGCATTTGGCGATATTCATTGTGAGCTCCTAGTACTGCCTCGCTGAATGAACCTAAGTGAATATCAAGCAAAATATTAACACGATCGATATTATATGTTGGTTTCAGTAACCACTATCGTACAGCAGATGGTTGGTTGATCTGAGTGAGAAAATGTTAATTATTTTCATCATATGACGTAGTAGTCTTGTTACTCTTGTATTTGAACGTAAATAAAGTAACCACTTCTGAAGTTGATCATCATCAGTGACCTCCATATATATATCTGGAGTGAAGGCAAGATGGCGGAAATTGAAGAGCTATTGGACGTCATTTACTAAATTGAACTACGAGATTAGCAATCTTACCACTGTCTGACATTCCTCCTGTTCCAAACACTTCTTTCGACCCTGTAGTAGCTGTAATCAGACCTTTTAGCAATGCTGTGAAAATAAGATGGTTTATATGCTGTTTTAGGTTATATGCTGTTTTAGGTTTCTTCAATAGTGTATATGCTGTTTTAGGTTTCTTCAATAGTGTATATGCTGTTTTAGGTTTCTTCAATAGTGTATATGCTGTTTTAGGTTTCTTCAATAGTGTATATGCTGTTTTAGGTTTCTTCAATAGTGTATATATATGCTGTTTTAGGTTTCTTCAATAGTGTATATGCTGTTTTAGGTTTCTTCAATAGTGTATATGCTGTTTTAGGTTTCTTCAATAGTGTATATGTTGTTTTAGGTTTCTTCAATAGTGTATATGTTGTTTTAGGTTTCTTCAATAGTGTATATGTTGTTTTAGGTTTCTTCAATAGTGTATATGTTGTTTTAGGTTTCTTCAAGCGCGCCTTCCACAGATTCTCATGAGTTCGATTCTCGTTGCAGGCTCGTGACGCGTATATGAAAAGAGTGAGTCAACGCTCTATCGAAAGTCGTGGGTTTTCCCTGGGTACTCCAGTTTCCTTCCACAGGGAAAGTTGACAGGGTGGGTTAAGATTAGCCTCTGACCCTTCCAGCTGAGCTCCCGTGATCAGACATGAGTCATCAATGCCAGACCTTAGAAATCCATCTACTCGATCAGGTTGAGTTGCATGCGTGCTTCGTAATTCAGCTTAGCTCTCAGCTGCAAGGAAGGATGATTAGCATGGTCCACTTACTTACCTAAAAGCAGTATAGCACATTTCACCTTTTCACGCATTTCTCACTACGATAGACGAATCTAAAATGATCGTGTTTAAAGCTATGGTTTAAAGGCACAGTTCAGCCTTTTCAATGATGGTTTTAAGGCGAAATTCAGCCCTTTTAATTGAAAAAACTAACCAAGAAAATCATAATTCAAGATCAGCAAACTTAATGTTTTTAACATTTTAAAACATTTTTATAGTTAAAAACATTGAGTTTATTGATCTTAAATTATGCATAATTGATTTTCCTAGTTAGTTTTTTCAATTAAAAGGGCTGAAATGCGCCTTTTGAATAGTAATCAATGTTTGTGACTTTATAACGTTTGCAAATATAACTGTACAGTTTGTCACTTTGTTTGTGAAGAAATATAGTTACATTAACTTTCATTGTTATAACCAACCAACCATACAGCTCGTTCATATAGGAACCATAGATAGAACAGGGTAAGGATATACTAGATTTGATTATTTCTATGTGTTCATATTTTTATACTATTTCTATAAAACAAGGTTACCTGAACTGCCTTTCACGTCAATCCCTCTTCTTACTTAATAACGGACAGATCAAGAAAAAGCAGACAAAAAAGTTCCCATAATTGTTTCTCGTCAATAATAACAACACTAAATATATAAAAACAATGCTACACATACCTTGCACTATATAACTAAACATCAACAATAGACAATAAGTATTTTGGCACAAATCAATCGTACGTTTCTCTACAAGTGAAATGTATTTGAACGCTAGACTAAACATGTCATGATGAATTATATACACCTGCTACAATGTCAGGTTTTTCATTGTATACATCTAATACATTACTGCCTTTCACAGAATAAATTATAATGCGAGTATTAGGGAGATGCAAGGAATTGTTTTACAACCTCAGTTATATAAGCATGAGCATGTCTTAGAACACAAGCTGTGTACATGTTATAGAATATTAAAAAACTCATTAATAAATCATGAGGGAAAGACAAAGGAAGTCACTATTCTGTCGCTTTGATTTTCTCGGCTTAGAGAACGTTGATTTTTAAAACTACTTCGCCAATGAACTCATACGATGAGTCGTTTTTAAGCCATTTAAAACACGGCTCACAGTCCGTGCTTTACCAGATATAAGACACCTGGCTGTCGCCTAGGGTTTTATCCTGCTCGTGTTTTCAAACAATACAAAGTCTGATATGTTATATCTTAGGGAGATTCGTGCTAGCCAAGACACACAATTTATGAAGGTTTTGTTTTAAGTAGAATTTAGTTCACAATATCAGTATTATTAAAAACCCAACATCTTGAATTACTTGTATTTTATTATATTAATTTGAAATTTTCAATATATTTTAAATAGGCGTGAAAACCTTCTATTATACATACTTTATATACTAAATATACACTGTAAACTGTAATATTTTTAAATAATCTTAAATTTATTAAAATTGCTTTGGGGTGGAAAGAAGTTCCGTTCCCAAGATTGCAAAAGTTATGAACCATCAGGGGAATGAACCCCGTGGCGTCTATTTCCATTTAAACCACAGAAGATTTAAACGAGTAAAACTAACAATATTTTCCATTATAAAGGCTGTCAAATTGTTACAAAATGATGCCCACTTCGTATTTATTCATATTTTTAAGTCCAAAGATTAAGTGTTGAAATTAGGCAAGATAAACCGGCAGTTTCTCAGCACTACTATTCATGAACCAACCTTGACCATACGTCTCCTTCTGAGGTATGTGAAATAGTCAGGCGAGAGGATTTTCAACCACAGTGACAACACTTGAACTATTACTTCCGGTGGAAATACTACTTCCTGGTCTCCCATCATCCCTTGCGAGAAAATTCCTTGTTAATTTATAAAATTTCCTTCCATTTTCCACAATATCATTCCACGTGACTGCTGAAGCCTTGGTATCCTCCATCTCACTCGGCGATTCCTCGGGTGTTGTCGCTCTCCAATCGGGATATGTTCGTGATACATACCTTGACTCGGCATCTTGCCACATTTCATCCGGGTCTTCTATAGAATCGTCAGGCATCGTGGAAGAACCGGAATCCGGCGACAACACGATGTCAATCATCGGAGGAATGTCCCAAGCCGGAAGTTGGTTGAGTGATTTATGTTGATTTATTTCCAGTTGTAGCGGGTGTGATTTCACGGGAACTGGGGTAGGTCGGGTGGAATTGTGCACATGTGCTCGAATAGATTGCTTCGAGGGTGGTAGATTTTTTATTCCGTTATTTGTTTTATTCGGCTCATTGGTCGCATCACGCCACTCTACAACCACATTTTTCTTATTTGAGTTTTTAGTTTTGTCGAGTTTCGAGATTGTAATTTCTCTGTCAAATGTAGCTTTACCGTTTGTTTGGTGACGATGGTAACAGATGATGAGTAAGGTCGCCAGAACCAGCACCAATACGAAACATGATAGACCTGAACAAAGATAATCAAAGCTCGATGAATCTCTCAGAATGTTTTGATGCAGGAAGTGGATGTCAACTTTAGAAATGTCGAAACGGTTTCGCCACCAACAACAAGACGTAATATTGTAATGAAAGAATGTACTATAATTTCTCAACATTTCTGAATTTCACGCAGTATTTCAAATCCGACCTGATGAGGACTGAACTAGATTTCAAGTCTGGGCAAGTTGATCAAAATGCGAGGACTTGAAATCTAGTCCAGTTTTCATAGTCGGATTTGAAAAGACATCTCATACGAATAAATGACTACTCAGAGTGAGGTGAATTAATTTAAGTC